CGGTTCTTGGGATTGGCTTAGGAGTTCAAACGACGGTTGATGGTATTCCCTTGGCGTCTTCTCTTGAGCAATACTTTTTCCCCTCAGTGTGTCTATATAGATTCTCGTAGCAATATTTTCGGTCGAACCCTCCACCTTCTTCATTTTTAAATCATGGGGCAATAAATCTTTTTTTTTTGCATTTTTATATTGGTGTTCACCTAAGAATTCAAATAGACCATGTTACCATGACAACACATGTATCTAACTTTGTTTTAGAGTTATGACAATTATGTATACATTACCTCTTGAAGTGCTGACTTCCCTTCTGAAAGTCGAACCTCACGGTGAAGTACTTGATCCTGTATTTTTATTCTCATAGCATATAATGTCTAAAATGTCAAACCTCCCATCACCATTATATGTATATATAGTTATAGGATTACTCATCCGTTGCAAATTATTTATTCCTCTACTAGCCGGTGTTTTTAGAAGCTTAGAGTGTCCAAGTTTAGATGTGTCCTGCATAAGGTAGGATTACATGAGTTACTGTTTCATTACATGAGTTACTGTTTCATTACATGAGTTATAGTTTATACATCTAAATAAAACAAAAGGTTCACCTTTCTCATTGTTGCCCCTCCTACTTGGGTCCTGTTCATCTTCTCAATAATTTGGTCCTCGTCAATACATCTTATGACCTCATTTATTTGTTCATCAATATCATCAAGTCCATCACATGCCTGCATCATATAATAAACATCTTGAGTTCATATTTCAAATATCATAAGTGCATCACATATTATGTTCTTTTTCGCTACCTGAGTTTTGTCTTGGGTGGGTTGTTTTTCAGAAACCTTTCCTGCAGTAGTTGTCGGGGTGGCACCCGTCCGGATACCTTGCACAACTGTAAGGCATTGTTGTCTTTGTCCACCTGTAGGGTCCTCCTTATCATCTTTTCTCTGCACAGCTGAGGCTTTTTCTTGGTGGTGATCATCAATTGGATGGTCATTTTTTTTCTTATTTGTTCGACCTTCTATAGTCTCAAGCTCATTTGTAAATGATGATGTTCCCTGCAACATTACAACCTTCATATATCAGGATGAGACTGTAATAAACATATGGGGTACCTAATTACATTTACCTTGTAGATAGTTTCGAATGCAGTTCCCACATTCACATCCCCTCTCATCATAAACCTATCGAGTCTGTCATCCTCCGATCCAGCACTTGTGTTCAATTGTTCAAGAATCATGTTTAAGCTAGTCATAATGCCATCAAGCTTCCCTGCAAATTCCTTCTGGGTCTTTACAATTTCATCCTGCTTCTTTTCAATTGCATTCAAACGCTCGTTTATACCTATTGCACTCCCAAATGATAGGGCTTGGACGCCCCCCATTGTTGTTCCATCTTGATCTTCAAGGAATGGCGCCATATATGGCATGGTTAGTTCCTCTTCGGTTGGCTCCATTGGCACCACTTCCAGCTACACAAAAAAGTGAGGTATTTAGTAATTTAATCATGTTGACAGTACAAATTATTTTTAAAAAGAGTAACTAGAACATTATCGTTGGCGAGTCAAAAAACTTTGTAGCCAATTCCTTCCACTCTGGCTGCAGTTCGGCTTCCCAGTTAAGCATCCGCGGAGTGCCATAACCAATCCTCCGTGCGTAATAATTTGGTGGGGTACTAAGTGAAGGTATGACCTCGTATGCCCACACTATCAATGCAGATATGAATCCACTCATCCCTACTCCTGTTAGTCCTCGACTGTCTGGCGCCTTTTTCATGTAGTCAATAAGGAGGTCAAATGCTACCCTTCCCCATGGGTAGTTATTAAATATGTCCTCATCATCTACCATTATGATGTGATCCATATCTACATGTACGGAGTCTTGGTGTGGCAAAAGGAAACTCTCCAAACAATAGAGCAAAGCCATCTTCACCGTATCATCTTCAGGTGCATTTTTGTTAACCTTGAAAGCAAGGTTTAGGTGTTTCCTTGTCACAAACTTCTCCCCCTCAAAATAAACGTTTCTTATGTGTGCTCCCCC